GCGCCAGATCTGTAGGACAGTTTATTACTGAGCACTGGCCTGTGCCCTGGTGCAATCTTAAGCCGCAGCGCTAATTTTCACCCTGAAAATCCACAACCGAACTCCTGACTGCTAGTTACTGGCTCTTCATGTGACTTTCTGTTTTTTAAAAACAAAGCATTATTATCATTTTAACCGAGGTTCTCAATGAACCGCCTGCTGCAGTCAGAGCCAGCTCTGCCAAGGATGCAGCACTCCTGTGGGATGATGCTACTTCCTTTCTTCCTCCCTATTGAAAATTCAAAAACAGGTAGCGTTTTGAAGTTCTTGCCGAAGCTCCTGATGCTCCTAGCATCTGTCATGGTCACCTGCACATTGAAAATATGCAGACTCTTTTATTGAAAATCCCTGTCTCAAAAAACCAAAAAGAAAAAAAAAAAAAGAATCTCTGAGCCCCATTTGCCCAGAACCTTGGTATAATCTTCTGGAGTTTTATCATTTTATGTACTTATAGGTGAACTAAAGAGCAACAATCTAAGAAACAGATTTCTAATATATTCCTGAACTTTATATCTTAATATTAATTAAATATCTTTTGTTGAAAATATAAATGCCAGATTTCTTTTTGGGGAGAATTTATCCGCTTGCTGATGCTGATGTTGCATATACCAAAATTATGTTTGGCTTGGTCCTAGGCAAAACCATCCCTCAATTTCCCACTTTGCAAATATTTGTCCGATTTGAGTTCAAAGTCAACTGTGATTTTTCTTCTCTAAAAAGATGGTTTGTGTATTACGTCTATTATAATGCACAGACACAAATATCCATTTCATTTAAAAATTACAGTTGAAAATGTCGGAATCCACGTTAAAGCAACAATAGCAGCAAAGCACATGGAAGCAAAAATAATCTACAATTAATCTTATTTACCTTGCAAAACTCCACTGATAACCTGGGGGTCGTGTTTCCAACTTCATTCTAAAGAGAGAACTCTGAAAATTCCTCCTCCTGCCCGCTCAGATGGCAGCCGGGTTTTCTTTCCACGTTCCCTTAAAACTAACAAAAGAACAACAACCTGGAAAGTTTCTTTAACTCTAGTCCCTCCAACTTTGTCGTAAAATCCTTTGTCCGTTTACTCAGCCCGATGGAAACTCCGATTCCTTTTCACAGTTCTCTTGACCCGCGGCGTTGCCAGCTTGACCCCCTCTGGATCAGCTTGATGACCATCAACAAGTCTGAATCCAGCGGTTTCATCCTAAATGAGAACAGCCTTCTTCCATAAAGCAACCTAGTACTTCACAAAACTCCAGGCCAAGGAATGAAGGATAGAGCCTTCACCAATAGGGAGTGAAGAAAAGGATTTTGTCAAACTTTGTAACCCAATCCTTGGGAGCCAGAGGTGGGAATTTTAGGTAGGGGGCCGGCTTTCCCTTGGAATTTTCTTAAAGTGGTATCGCTGACTTGTGGAAGTTAAAAGTTGCCACAGGTTGTAAAAAACATGCATTTAGAGTTTCTCCTTCTGTTTTAAGTCCCGTAAAAATATGTAAATCGATATTCCGCAAACTGAGTGAACTTCTAATGTGATCCTACTATCAATATGGGAATTGTAACACCAATTTGGAGAAGAGGTAAAAGCTATTTCAACATGATTCATTTTTCATGAGCAACTTTTGGATGTTAATATGCTAAAAAGATTTCTCCTAAAACATGAAAGACGAAAATTAAGAAGCTGACATTACTTCAAAAATGTTTTTCTATTCTTTTTTCTGCCAATATATTGTTTAATATATTAAACATTAATATATAAACATTAATTATATGTGTATATATAAACATATATACATAGAGAGATTATAATTACATCATTTCCCCTTTTCTTTCCTCCTGACCAATCCTCCTAGGTATCTCTCCCTCGTTCTCTTTAAAATGAATGGCCTTTATTATTATTATTTTTTTTTTACGTGCATGTGCAGGGTGTGTGTGTGTGTGTGTGTGTGTGTGTTTCAAAGCTGACCATTTGGTATTAGATAAGCAAATTGGGCAAATTGGTGTGCTCTTCTGGGCAATACTATTTCTCCCAATCTCGGCTTTCTTTAGTTGCCTGGAGTTCTTCGTATAGCCTTGAGGCCTCCCGAGCTCTTCCTAGGTGATGGATGTTAGCATGGTTATTGGGGCGGTCCTCGTTCAGGCCATGTTTAGGCAGACATGTCAGTGAGACTTTATGGATGTAGCTTCTGACATTGTTGTGTCTCCACTCTATATTTGGGTTGCTTGTGGTTTTCTGTAATGGTCTCCAGAAGATGCAAAGATAGGTTTCCTTGATGAGGGTTGAGGATTACACTTATTAGGCTAGACCCCAGAGAAAAACACCTAGAATATTTTTATTCTTTGAGAACTTCATACAAAGCATTTGGATCAAATTCACCCTCCACTCCTCCCCCTAATTCTTCCCAGATCCATTTCCTCATGTTTCCCACCTCCCTCTTCCTTTTTTTAATAACCAATGGAGTCCAATTTGTCCTGCCCATACACTTCTGGGTGTGGGGCCAGCCATTGGAGCAAGGTCTACCTACCAAGGGTCACATCTTTAAAGAAAACCAACTCCCCCTCCTCCAGAAGCCACAAACTGTCCATAGCTCCTCAGTTAGGAGGCCGGGGGATTGGTGAACCCCTTCTTCCTCCGTGCTAAAGTGTTGCCTGGCATGATCCTCTACAGGCAACCACAGTTGCCATCCACTCAGATGAATGCGGAGGGCCTGTTGTGTTCAGAAGACACTGTTTCCCTCTGATCCTCCCTGACCTCTCTGGTTCTTACACCTTTCTGCTCTCTCTTCTGCACTGGTCCCTGAGCCTGGGGGTTAGGGAGACTTGGGTTGTCCCATTCGTGGCTAGCATTCTATAGATACTTATTTGATCAGTTGTAAGTTATGTTAATTACCATCCACTGCACAAAGAAACTTCTCTGATGAGGTCAGAGAGAGCAGCAAGTCTTATGATTGGAATTGATCCTTAATGCTCCAAGGATTTTTAATTTTACGCTATTTTAAAATAACTAGATTTTATTTTAAATCTGTGGGTTGGAGGAAATCCTAAGGTATTAAACACTCCCAAAAGGTTTTAATAAATATAGGATATAAACTATGCCATATACTTTAGTAACTCCTGAAGACTGGATTAAATAAATAATAGATAATTTATATTTTATTTTAACTTATGTCTTATTTTGGAACTGTTAATATTTTTATTTAATTTAACTGCTTTCTAAGTTATTCATTTCTAAGAGTAATTAGGCTATCAAAAAATAGTTCATTTAAAAGTTGAGAATGATTCGGGTGGTGGTGGTTCATGCCTTTGATCTCAGCACTTGGGAAGCAGAGGCAGGTGGATCTCTGAGTTTGAGGCCAGCCTGGTCTACAGAGTGAGTTCCTGGGCTAAAAGAGAAACACTGTCTGGAAAAACCAACCAACCAACCAACCAACCAACCAACCAACCCAATCAACCAAATAAACAAAAAACAATTGATATGCTTAACAAGAAGCCCCCATGCAAATTAATAGACACACTATTTTAAGGACAAAGAATACGTTTTAATGGGGGGATGGATTTGATCAAAACATCACATACATGAATGAGGTTTGTCAAACAATAAAGAGTAAGTCGCCGAGGAATTTTTAAAGGTAGAAAGTTGTACCCAGGCGTTGGTGGTGCAGGCCTTTAATCCCAGCACTTGGGAGGCAGAGGCAGGCTGATCTCTTGAGTATGAGGCCAACCTGGTTCACAGAGCAAGTTCCAGGACTGCCAGGGCTACAGAAAGAAGCCCTGTCTCAAAACCAAAAAAGAAAGAAAATTGTTTCATCAAAGTACACATTTTAAAAATGTTTTACATGCTGGGCGGTGGCACACACCTTTAATTTCAGCGCTCGGGAAGCAGAGGTAGATGGATCTGTGAGTTTGAGGCCAGCCTGGATTACAGAGCGAGTTCCAGGACAGCCAGGGTTGTTACATGGTGAAACCATGTCTCAAAACAAAAAACAGACCAACAAAACAACAAAAGTTTTTACTTTTCTACCCTGGTACTGGGGACTGAATTGAGTGCCTCTACTGAGCTACATACCTATCCCCTTCTTTTTAAAATACTTGAGATAGGGTCTCATTAGCTGATCAGGTTGGCTTTCCACAGAGTAAGAGGCTGCACACTTGCTCCATCAGAGCAATCAGGTTTTTCGTCCTGAAGAGGTTTTTATGGACTGCCTACTTAGCCATGTTAGGAACTGCCATATTACTCCACTAAATTGTGATCGTCCTTAGTAATTTCTCACATTAGAGCCTGTGTGCGTGTTTTGTTTTATTTTTATTTACGAGACAGTGTCTCACGTAGCTGAGGCTGGCCTCTAACTCCTGATCTGTCTCCACCCCCAAGAGCATTGGGATTCAAGCATACACCACCACGCCTGGGCCCGCGTGTCTGAAGGGTAGAGACTGTTCTTGACACCTTTCAGCCAGAGTTTCGAGACCTTAAACCCACTGCCTAAGTTCTTCTTGTAGACTCGACTTACTTGGGTTACGTAAGCCCGACGGCTTCTGTTTAAATGTCAGACTCGTGGTCTAACAGTAGCCGGGACTGCTGTTCAAAGCAAAGGCCAGACTGTGCCCAGCTCTTAGGACCATGCCTGGTACAGAATCGCTCCGAGTTTTATTGCTGGCATCCGTCAATGGGAGGCTGAGAGCGGGATGCATGTGAGAACGAAAAGACAGATCAGTTACTGGCGGCTCCGGAGGCTGGCGCCGCCTAAACGACCCCAAACGACGCTAAGCAGAAACGCCACTTTCTTGACGTCCAGCCCCAAATCGAAGCCGGAAGCCAGAGCCGAGCCACGGCCCGGACCCTGGAGGAAGTCGTGCTCTCGGCCAATAGACGCCGGGCTCTGAAAACGAGCCTCCCATTCCACCTATCGTGAGACAGCGAGAGCTGGGGCGAACTATCGCGATGTTTCGTCCTCCTGGCCACTTCTCCCCCGACCCTTACTCCCGTTAGTTAGGCCCGCCCCGCCGCAAGCCCCGCCCTCCTAGCCCCGCCCTCCCTCTATCCCTGGACTGCCTGCCAGCGCAGCCCAGGCCACCACCGAGCGCTGGTCAGCGGGCGCCCAGGTGAGTGTCCCGTCTCCAGGCTCACAGATCGAGGGCACTGGCCCGGCTCCTGGTCGAGACGCTTCATTCCCTTCGCCACAGAAGCTCCCGGGCCTCTGCGAGAAGGACCGCGGGCTGTCCGGCCTTGGGTCCCCTCGGCTGCTGTGTCCTCCGCGGCCCCTGGTACCCGAGTATCCCGGTATCATCTGAATTCCTGCCCCTGGGCTCCCTGCTGCCGAATTCTTACGACTAATTCTAATCGAACTAACTCGGGCAAAACCAGGACGTCTGGTAGTTTTTCTCATGGAGAAAACAGCCTTTTACACATGCTTATAACGTGCAGTTTGTAAGACCTTCATCTGCTAGTGCTAGGAAGTGTCAGATTGTGTATTCTATCAAATCAAGTACTGCAAAGTCAGTTAGGGACTGTTCTTTAAAATACTTACGCTTAAAATGGGGGTTTTCTTAAGTTGGGAGATTGTTCTGTTTGCTTCTGTTGAGAAGACTGGTGTTGGACTTTCAGAAAACTGAAGACGCAGCTGTATATATAGAGTTAATACTACAGTATTTACATTAACTGTGGGCTGGAGGTGATGAAGTTGAAGGGGCAGGAAAACTAACCTTTGAAAGGCTGTATTGCCAACGAGTGCATATTGGGAAAACAGGAGCATTATTAATTCTGGAAGCTTTTTTATTTCACTTGTGTGCACCTTACTTCCCAATCTGTCTTTGTAGCAAGATGCATTTCAGCAGAGCCTAATGATGCTTTTGAGGCAGTCAGTTCCAGCTGGAGCATTCAGAAAGCCATTTGGTTACCGTGAATGGAGATTTGGGATATAGTTTTACTTTGCAAAAGGAAAGCTTTCCATTTGTTTAATCTTTGTTTATCTCATAATGGTGACACACTGGCTACATTTTACTTTTGTAAAGGTAAGGCAGTGCCCAGAATTGGGGGTTAGGACCACCTCCATTGTGTTTGTGACATGGTATCTCATCTGTGAAGTGGATTAGTTCATGTCTGCTGTGCTGCTTGGCTGTAAGGATAAAGATCCTTATGGCAGGTAGCAAGTTTAAAGAGTCTTTGAGTGACCTCAATGGGTAAACGAAAAGTCAACCTTGGAACAGCTGTTCCTATTTCATCTAGTTATTAGCTGTTTGAAAGCTAAAAGTATTTGTTGCTGTAGCATTATGCAGACATGAAGAAAACAGCAATACCTCTCTGCTCTCAGGATTTTACAGACTTGTCTAAAGTGTCAGTAAATAGGTGTGTGTGTATAATATATGTGTGTGTGTGTGTGTGTATATATATATATATATATTACAATTATATATAACAAATATATATATGTATATTACAAATTGTAAAAACAACAACTGGCTTGCTCTAAAAGAAAACCATGGGAATGGTTAGTTGGGATAGGGAAGTGAGTTTTATGTTGAAATCTGCGAGGGGAAAGAGGCAGTTCCCAGGCCAAGAAGAGAGCAGCCAGTGCTTGGAGGAGTTTAGTAGGTCCCAGTATTAAGAGTCCAGGAACTTGGTGAATGTGGCAGAGGAGGCTGGACAGGCAGGTTGGGCCCGATGGTCAAGGGCTCTGAAAGCTTCGTAAGGCTTTGCTTTTCTCAATAAGGAGTTGCTCAAGGGTTTATTTAGTAAGACATGCCCGAGAGGGAGAGATGAAATTGTGTGTACATTTTGTGAGGCTCATTATTTTGGTTGATATGTTGGAAATGAGGAAAGTGGACACATGGAGACAAGGAATACATCTGGCCAAGGCAGGAGATGGCAGTGGCTCGTGGCTTTGACAGATGTAGAGATGTGGCTGGAATTGAGATGTGTTTTGGAAAGAGAAACACTAGCCTTGTGATCGACTGAAGAAGCTGAAGTGGAGAGGGTGGGATCCTCCATGACTTCCAGCTGAGCTGCTGTGTGCGTGGAAGGGTGTTTCCCCCACATTTGCTGATTTAGGAAAACCTGAAGAGGTGACTGGTGACCAGCATTAACAGCTGTCTGGGAAGGTATGACATTGGAGATGCTGTGAGACAGCTAAACCACGCCCAGTAAACCATTACTCAGTGGATAATTACCCAGGAAGCTTTGTTTTCTACACAGAAGCATTGATGCTGTCAGCCCTTTGGTTTCCTTCACTTTATATGAAGACATGTAAGATGTTGACAGGTGCCTGGCAATAAAATGAGAAAGAAAGTAGATGGAATAAATATGGGAAAGTATTAGATTCTTAGATTGACCTAGAACTGTTACTGAGCACTTCATAGAAGTAGTCTTTTAAGTAAACTGGCAACTGTTGTCTTCTGAGCTAAGAAATAGGAGCTTGAAAATGATAGAAAGTAACCCCACAGTTACAAGCCTCTGCCTATTGAAAGCCTTCATACAAATGCTCGGTGAGAATTATTTTCTTAAAATGAATGAAACAATTGAAACCGCACCCTGTTCCTTTTCTGTTTCAATAGAGAACTGGAAGGGATGTCCAGAAAAATGGACTTTCTGAGCAAAACTGAAGTCAGTTGTTGCAAACTTCCATTTACTTAACATCTGCTGGGATCCTGTGCTTCTTTGTAAAGAACCCACACTTTGAAATCCCGGGACCTGGTGTCAGATTCTTGCTTTGAATTCCTTATGCACTCTTTCACCTTTGACAAGTTCAGAAAGCCCGAGTTTTGTTTCCTCCTGTGTTAATAGTGGAAGCTTATTCATCCTTGTTCCTAGTAAGATGGCAAAGTAGTCAGGTGGTGGCGGTGCACTTTGATCCCAGCACTCGGGAGGCAGAAGCATCCGGTTTGAGGTCTACAGAGCAAGTTCTAGGACAGCCAGGACTACACAAAGAAACACTGTCTTGAAAAAAATGAGGGGGTGGCAAATATAGCTTCCTTTTCTTGTCAATTTTGGGACTGGAAGAGACTTTACAATAGTTTTTCAATCAACATATTAACTGCTGTATCTACACGAGTCACCTGAGACCCAGAGAGCTTTATAATTGGAAAACACAGGGTTCACGTTCCTAGTGCAGTGTTTTTGACTAGTGACTTTGGGCCTCTTTCTTGTCTATTTCTGACAATCTGCAAAGCTGTAAAGAAAAGGGTAACAGACAAGAGAAGTAAAAATGTGGAATACTTGACAATATTTACATAGTAGAAAGTAAAGGCATTAAGCTGTTAGTGATATGAGTAGAAATCATATTTCATGTTTGAGATAAGTAAAATACAAAATGAGACAGCTCAAAATGAAGATGGGGCCCGCTGCATTTGCGTTTTTTTTAAAGCCTTTTCTTTGGTTGCATGCTGTACAACTTGCCTCTGGGGTCTGTGGATACAGAGCAGTTGGTAGAGTGCTTTCCCAGCATGCACAGAGCCCTGGGTTTGATCTCAGTACTACAGAAACAAAGAGGTGTGCCATACAACTGGAGGCTGAGACAGGAGGATCCAAATTTTAGGATCTTCTTTGGCTATATAGCAAGTTCTAGGCCAGCCTAAGATGCACGAGACCATGCCTTACAAAAACAAAACCAGAAACTAGTCTCTGTTCTCATAAGGATTCCTACTTCAAGTCCAAAAGAAATTTTTCTTTGGTTATGTCTCCCTCCCTCCCCCACTTCCTCCCTTCCTTTTGGTTTTTGGTGATAGAGTTTCTCTATGTAACAGCTCTGGCTATCCTGGAACTCACCTTGTAGACCGGGCTAGCCTCGAACCCACAGAGATCCCCCTGCTTATGTCTCCCAAGTGCTAGGATTACAGGTGTGAGCCACCACTGCCTGGCCAGTTAGGTCTTTTTCTAGTAAGTAGTAAATATTGCTTAATCAGAGTACTCCATTATTATTTTAATGTCCTAAATATGTGCAGAGATTTTAGTTGTCCCAAAGAAGGTAGAGAGTGTAATTATCTTTAGTGTTGGTATGTTCTAGCTCTGTAGGCTAACAGGTTTATATGCAGTGCTTGTAAGAAACCTTAACAAAGACTACATTTTTTTTTTTTGTCCTCTTTCTAGAAATGGACCAATTTTGACAAGATGTAGAGCTGCAGCGTGCCTGATCAGACATGTTCAGTCATGGCATCGGAACTTTGTAAGACGATCTCTGTGGCCAGGCTTGAGAAGCACAAGAATTTGTTCTTAAATTACAGGAATCTGCACCATTTCCCACTGGAGTTACTGAAAGATGAAGGGCTGCAACATCTGGAGAGGCTGTACATGAAAAGGAACTCACTCACAACCTTGGTAGAGTATTATATTGCGTTAGTACCATTTATAAATGTGGCCCTGACCAAGGTATTTTTCATTCGCCCACGCTGTTCAGATCAAGGTGTTACAAATGCAGGCAATGGAGACATACAGGGGCTGTCAGTCGTTGCTAATTCATTACTTACGTGCCTGCCGTTAGGATACAGAAGGGATGTGTAGGCAAGTGAAATACTCTAATGTACTACTGAGAAAATCTCCCATGGCCCATGCTTCTACTGTATGTTAAAGCAGTCTAGATAAAACGTAAATAAGAGAAGACCAGTAAGCCCGACTCTGACTTGGAGGAATTAAAAAGGGAATGATCTGAAGACTAAAGTCTTAATATATATTTGGGAAGTCTAACGAAGCCTTTGTGTGTTAACCAAACAAAACCTTTATGTTTGCCTTGTTGAAATCAGAGTGACCTTGCATTGGGATATAGTACAGGTGGAAAAAATTTTGCAGCTGCAGCAACATTCGATTTACTTTTTATGTTCTAAGAGAAAGCAAAAAGTCTTCATTATAACCTGTTATATGTAAGATAAAGAAACTATTTAAATTTGGGAAGAGAATGTTCTAACCAGAATTCAGTTCTCACTACTTGTTATAAAATGTGGTCCCCACTTTAAATGAATTTACTTTATATGGCCCTTTGTGGTTATCATTTTACCTGATTTGAATTTTTGCTTGAATTTGTGACTTGGGTTAGCGTGCTGTTTCTTTGTAATTGAACCTTAAGTATCTGGAAAGTGTGCCACACTCGTTTCATATGTGTGGCATGTAATCTGGACAAATTAGTCTATAAAATACCTGAAGTAGGTGGAATGCATTATAAGGTGTATCTTTGCTTTGTCAAGGAACAAATGGCTATGCATGTCTTTAGTGTTTGACATATTGGTACCTATGTCAGGTTGAATGCCTAGCTAGGTTTTTAAACTTAAAAATGTCTTGTTTACACTTTCTTAGTCCTCTATGAAATATCTCTACTGTGTGATATGAGATCATACTTACCTAGAATTCTAGCCCTTGGGAAGAAGTGACGTAAGAAATGTATCAAAGATCATAGCTCCAATTTCCCCACTTGCATAAAATAGTGTACAAAAATATTCACGAGCAGATTACTGCCTATCAGCAGTAGCCCAATGGAATAGACTTTTCCGAGAAACTGACCTTTGCTTATAAAAGTTAAACAGTTGGTCTTTTGTAAATTTCTGGCAGTTTTCAGCTTAGGAAAATATGCCAGTGTCACACAATTTGGATGTACAAAGTGGTTCATTCACATATCTAATTGAAAATTGTTTTTAGTTAGTGTACAAAATAATAGATCCCATTAGGTCATGTCCATGTGCATATCACTGTGTCTTCTCATATTCATCTCCCTCTCCATTCCCCTTTCTCCGTAGTCCTTTCTGTTCACCCCCACCCTTAATCGGCCTCCTCATAGCATACATTCCAAGTTCATACTCTGCCCCCTTTTTAATCAGCCAAGATGAAATTTTTGCAGGGTTTGATAATAAAAGTATCTTGTTTTCTCTTGGCAATTAATATGTTTGATTAATGTGTATCAAATAACTTTAGGAACTATCCTGTGGAAGGCTGTAAAGCTCCCACAGGATGCTGGGAACCAGCGATCAGCTCAGAACTGTCCTGTTCCCTGGCTGTATCAGATATAAGACAAGGTTTTCAGTGTTTGCTGCTGGTAGAATGTGGCTCCTGCCTGAGGTTTAGTTTGTGGAATTTGACCAGAGGCTGCAATGCTGCTGTGCGGCCTTATGGATTCATTGGCCTTTCGTTGCTTATTTTGAACAAGCTTGGGAACCTGCCAATCATTTCTGTTTTCCTGGTACAATTCTTTTTTCCGTTGTGCTAAATGTCCTTCTTTTCTACATTTCCTACATGTCACCCCTCACCACGAAGAGCCACTTCCTGAGAAGTAGTGACCCATGTGCAACCCCTACCTGCTCACTTTTGCAATTCAAATGATTTGACTTAGCACAGTGGCTTTTATTTATAGGGCGGTTGTGTGTCATGTTTTCCGAATTTGGGGAATGCCAATATTTAGAAGTAAACCAGGAAAAAGCCTGTGAACTTAATGGAATAGACCTTTTCACTTAAAAAAAAAAAAAAAAGGAAACCTTTTATTTGCATTTCTTTCATGCTGAATTTATCCCTGTGTCATAAGTTTTTGTCTCTTTGGTTCCATCTGGAATATCTCTTTTTTTCTGTGTAGCCTCCTACTCTAGCTTAGGAACAGTGCATTCCTGTTCAGTGGGGACCATCTCAGTTTGGCAGGGGAGCTCATGCATGCTGTATTAGTCAGGGTTCGCTAAGAAACAGGACTGATAGACTGTATATATATATAATACATATGTATATATATATATATATATAAAATTTATAATATTGGCTTACAGGCTGTGATCTGAGTAGTTAACAATGGCTGTGTCCCTGCAGAAAGGCAAAGGATCCAGTAATTGTTTAGTCCACAAGATTGGGTGTCTCAGCTTTCTCAGTCTGGTGCTGGAGTACTGGGGAAGTCCTAAGAGCTGCCAGTTTTCAGTCCAGGTTGGAATACTGAAAATATAAGTTCTACCACCATTGAAGGAATGGCTCGGGGTAGATGAACTTGCCAGTGAGAACGAGGGCAAGCAGACAGAATACATAAGCTTTTTTCTGTCCTTTTACGTGGCCCGCCACCAGAAGATGCGGCCCAGATTTGGGGAGGGTCTTCTGACTTCAAATGATCTGGTCTCCCACCTCAAATAATCCAACCAAGAAAAATTCCTCACAAGGAATGCACCCAACTGCTTGGTTTTTAATTACTTTCAAATGTAGTCAAGTTGACAGCTAAGGCTAACCATCACACAGGTATTAATCTGACCATGAACTCTGTAAATTCAGCAGTACGTCTTGGATATGTGGCATGTCTGGATATACATGACTAGAAGAGTCTCCGTCTAAATCTTTAAACTTCACATTACTCTCTTTGTGGCTAAACTTGTACAGCAAAAATTCAGCACTTACTTTTTTTGGGCCATCAGCCCTATGTCCAGCCCCAGTGCTTGGCCTGGACATACCTGTGGAGTCCACCATTGTACTTCCAGAATAGCACACTTTGTTTTTTTAAAGTGACATTTTTCAGACACTTGGTGGCTCTTTAGATATACATAATCTTGAAGACCTGTTCAATTTGAGTGTTCTTAAAGTGAACACAAGGATTTGAACCTCTTGATTTGCACATTTTTGTAGGGTTTTCTGGGATGAGAGTAGGTCTTCAGAGGGACACGGACCACGCTGTCTCTCTGCCAATGCCTGGTCTTGTGGCTCCGTGGCACCCCTCTTGGTTGACAGTGATCTGTCTGACCTTGGGCTTCAGATTGTTTGTGCTGCCTTGTCACTCTGTACTAAGCACTGCTGCCTCTGGGAAGATCCCCTGGCCTGGATGCACACACCCCTGAGGCCAGTGGCCCAGGCCAGGATGGCAGCAATAATGGAGGACTGAGTAACTTCCCTAGCCACCTATGTTTCTACCCTAATCTAGTCACCAGCTTCAAAGGAGGACTCCATACATGTGCCACACGTGAACATGTATACACATACATACCACCCACAGAAATTAATACCTACTGTTAAAGATTATTAATACCTTTTTAGAAACTATGAGAAGACATTGTAACTCATTATTGGAGTGGAAATTGACTTACCTTTTTTTTTTTTGGTGGTTTAGACTCTATCTAGTAAAATTGAATACCCAATAGAAAAAAAAAATCAGATGAACAAGGATATTCATTGTATGCTAACATATGAGCGTGATGAACAGTTGTTTTCATAAATGTGCATTTAGTATGTTGGTTAAAACCTAGTAACAGCTAACTTCTTTTGAATCTTTACCAAGGCATTTGCTTGACAACAAATGCCAGGCATTGTTCGAAGCAATTGGCATGTGTTATTTAATCCTGAGAACAATGCTTGGATGCAGGCACTTTCATTATCCACATTTACAGATGAATAAGGCATTGAGAAAGGACGGGAGTGATGATGGTTGTGGATGATGGAGAGTGTGAGGGACTGTGGGAGCTGAAGAAGATCCTGAAGTAGTGATAGTTAAAAAAAGGATGCACTATTATATCCGGCTATTACATTACTTTCTTTTAAATGGACACTTAAAAAAGTTATTAAAGATGGCTGGCATATAGATTCCAAATATTTTGACTTATGATGGTGGTGACTCTGTTTATGTAGTACCGACATGAATGTCTGACTAGGTTCGGGTGAGAAAAGGCAATGGCTAGGGAAGTTACAGGCTTATTTCTCCCTGGCCCTCACAGGGTAACATTCCTTTTCCAAAACGCTTGGAACCAGAAGTAGCTTTACATTTTAGGTATTTTTCTTCGGATTATTTATTTGTATATACACGGTTAATTTTGGGGATGAGAATCAAATTTAGTCACATAATTCATTTGTATTTCATACTTACCTGAAGTTAATTGCATGCTGTATTTATAGAACTCCTGAGTTTTGACTGCACCCTATCAGAGAGGACAGGTATGGAACTTTCCATTGTGGTTTTGTGTTGATGCTCAAAGGTATTGGATCAGAGGGCTGTTTGGATTAGATGCTCTACCTAGAGTAGAAGCTGTATCAATATTGAAGCAGCTTGAGGGAAAACAGTAAATTAAGGTGGTAAAAAAGAACATTGCACAATCACGTGAGGTGAGAGGGATAGGAGGAAGGGTCTAAGTGTGGCTCCTTTTAAATTCTCTCAGGAGGAGTTTCTTTTGTTGTTGTTGTTTTGTTTGTTTGTTTTGTTTTTAAGATAGGGTTTCTCTGTGTAGCCCTAGCTGTCCTGGAACTTGCTCTGTAGACCAGGCTGGCCTCAAACTCAGAGATCTACTTGCCTCTGCCTCCCAAGTGTTGGCATTGAAGGCATGCGCCCCCACCGCCCAGCTTCATGAGGAGTTTCTTGTTGCTGGTCAGCCTTTTGGACACATGGGGTT